ATCATCTGATGATGATGATTATCGTTTGATCAAATTTCCCATTTTTTTTGCCTCACATATAGCTACCCAATGAGGTTAGCTTCACTGCATTGCATTTTTTTTGTTTCACCATTATTGTGGTGGCTCATATTTTTTTTTCTCCAGTTTCCATGGGAAAATTTTGTATGGAATTTCTGTGTGTGTGTGTGTGTGTGAGGGGAAAAAGGCAGCAGAAGAAAAAATTCGAGAATCTTTTCGCTTGTTTCAAGTTTCTTTTCACAATTTATTATGTAAATTAATTTTTTTTTCTGTTTGGTCGAATATTTGTGTGAGATTATTATCATGTGTAATTGTTCTACTTACAGCAACATAACCATAACATTTTATGATGATGTTTGTTTGTCAGTCAATTCAGCAAAAAAAAAAAAAAAAAAAAAGAAATTCTTCTGCAGACAAACCAAATTCTTGAATAAGGCTAATTGGTTTTTTTTTGTTCCAGAGGGACAGAAATTTATATTTCCTTTTTCTAGTTCTTAAATAAGTTGCTTGTTCAGTGTGTGTGTGGCTGTTTTTTTTCTGTTGTCGAAATCAAAATGAAACTAGCAAGATAACAGACAGACCATACAAATAGTGGTAGATTGAATTCTAAATTGGCTTTAATTTCTTTATATTCCACTTTTTTTTATTGCTGTACACACTGTATACAGCAATAATGCAATTTCCTGTGAGTTTTAGAATTAGAAAATTAAGATCACAGAAAAAAAAAAGAAAGAAAGAAAACGCGAATAGAATGTTCATGAATTCATTTTGTGTGTGTGTGTGCGATTTGTTGAAGAAAATCAAAGATTTTTTTGAGATCAGAGATTATCATTTTTACAATGATTTATGTTTTTATTTCTTAAATTTAGAAAAAAAATGGGAAAAAATTCCGATTCTTTTTTTTCTTCGTTATAAAAAAAAAAATTTCCATCATCATCATCATCATCATTAGAGAATCATTAAACTTTAATCTTTTGAATGAATGAATTTTTTTCCTCTCTTTTCATGTCTGACTTTTTGTCATGTCAAATTCTACGTTCAATTTGGTTATAATATTATCATCATTATCATCATTCATTCATTGTTTTTCTTATTCACATTTTACCATTATAATGTGTATATGCATGATGCGGTTATCATCATTTACAATCATCGACCCAATATAAATGATGTTAATGATGATGACGATGATGAAAATGTCATCACACACACACACTCACACTGATGATGATGATGATCTTTTTTATTTTTTGTTGCTGTTATGTGTGTGTACTAGGAAACTAGAACAAAAAAAAACGAAACAAAGTGTAAAAAAGCTACACAGCAACCAACAGTGTGGTCTTTTTTTTTACTCGAGAAAATTCATTGGAAAAACAACAACAGAAAAATAATTGACACACAGAGTGAGTTATTCTGTATGATAGATAAGATAGATGGATGGATGGATGGATCAAGTGAGAAAAAAAAACTTAATTAGTTTTTCATCTTCATTCGTCAATTCGTGTGGTCGATAATCATTGTCAATTTTGTTTTGTGATTTAATGCTCCAAAAAAAGTGGTTCGTTTTTGTTGTTGTCTCTGTTGTTATTCACATCATCATGATGATGATGATATTTGAGATACATGTCATCATGTAATGAGCGTGCTCAATAACCAAAATTGTTGATTTTTTTTTTAAAAACAATTTTTATTCATTTTGAAAAAAAATTAAAATTTTGAAATCAAAAGAAAAAATGAAAAATTAAATTTTTTTCCGCTCCCCAAAAAAAAAAAATGCAAATCCAGTTATCCAATCATTCAGATGGATGTTTCTTTACGTTTTTGTTGGTTGTTGTTGACTTTTTTTTGATGATCCGATGGTTGATTATTACAACGGCGACAATAATCATCATTCGATAATCTTGATGCACCAGTTGGTAATACGGGATGAATATTACGGCCCGAAATTTGATTCGATGAATCATCATGATTCGTGTTGTTGGTGTTTGTATTGTCCACATAACGTAAACAACAAAAAATAAAACAAATTAAAAAAAACATGAATAAAGTGATACAAATCAAAAAGATGATGATCTTTTCATCAATCATCAGATTTGGACCGAAAATTGATTTTTCCGTATCATCTAATAAATCCGTTGCATTTAGATGGTGGACAAAACGAACCATTTTTGAATTTTTATTCAAATTACCAATATCTTGATTGATTGTAGAAAGCTGACAAGCAAATGAATGATTATTTGCCATTTTTTTTCACTCTCATTATTGAATTATCAGTCACAAGAACCAAAAGAAGAAAACCGGTTTTTTTTTCTTCTGTGAAAATTACCGGTGAAAAAAAAGGTGGAGCCAAAAATTTTGTTTTCGATATCGATGTAATCGATACAGATTGAATGAACAACAATCGATTGTTTTTTGATTTTCAAAAATTACTACTGCTACCATCACAACCACCGTCAAAAAAAAAAAAAAAAATGCAAAACAAACTTCAAATGCAGATGTATGATTTATATATCGTATAGTTTTGTTTCTCTGGTTGTGTGTAAAATCGATTCTGTGACTTTTTTTTTTTTTTTTCATTTCAAAATTTTTATTCGATTCCATTGGTTTAGAAAAACTAGAATTATAATCGGAAAAAATTTTTTTTGTCATTTGTAACAATTTTTTCATTATGGTTTTCTCTTTCTCGTTCTGTCATCGATCCATTTAATGATAATGACTTCTGTATGTTTGTTATTCTTTATTTTTCTGTCATTTACACCGTTTTTGTTTTGTTTATCTGCCCATAATGACATGATGATCATCATCATCATCATAATCATAAAATTCCACATGCACCATATTGGTTTGTACATTTTTTTTCTTTGTTGTTGTTGTTGTTGTTGTTTCATTTCAATGTCACATACACACAAATAATGACGATAAATCATAGAAAAGATTCAGTTTTCAGTGTTTATCGATTGTGGTAAATTTTTGCCGTTGTTTTCATGTTTCACATACACATATATATCGACCGCAGAATCAATCTTTTTTTCTTGATTTCAAATCATTGAATTCTTTGAATTATTTTTTTGTGTGTGTGTGTGTGTGTGTGTAAAAAACGAAGAATTCAATAGGTCGAAATTTCAAATTCAATATTTGCATTGATTGATTTTTTTTCGCTATTTATTTATTACGTCAAACGATATATAGAAAGAGAAAAAGTTTTTTTTGTTGTTGTTGTTGTTGTTGTTGTCAGTTTTGATATTTTTCAACTGCATTTGCTGAAATGATGATTGAATCGTTTTTCTCTTTTTTTGGTTAATTCTCTCTTTTTATTCAAAATGTCAGAAAAATCTCTCGTTTGCGGCGTTTTTCAATCGATATGGTTTCTTTTTCTTTTTGGTGAAAGAATCCGATAAATGAGAAAGAATACGGTTATTTTGAAAATATTGACACACACACAAACACAATTGTAACATTCATTGATCACTGATTATTGGTTATTGATGATGATGATGATGATGATGATGACAATGATGGACATGTTTATAAATATTTAGCAAAGGAAAAAAAATTACAAAATTTCAATTTTCAATCATCGGTGATGATGACAGGCAATGTGATAATTGCAAACAAAAAAAAAAAATAAGAAAACTTCAATTTGATCAAAATAATGGAACCAAATAAAAAAACCAGAACGTTTGGTTTTTTTTTCTTTTTTTCCCATTTCACAAAATCAGATGATGATGATGATCATTGCATTGATACCATCCCATTTAATGATGTGTGATTGTAACAAACAAATAAAACTTGTTATTTTTATTGTCATAATGATGATGCCAAAATTACTTGAATCTTCAACTTTTTTTTAGACGATTCAGCTCTAGATTAGTGTTTTTTTTTCTACGGTCTTTATGAAAGGTCGAATTATACACATTTATTTTTTGTTGTTATTGTACCCAATTGTGTGTGTGTTGTTTGTCTGTGTGGTTTATGATTCTGTTATGGTTCCATTCACTCTAATCCAATCAACCAAATGGATGACGATGATGATGATTATGATTACACACCATAAGGATAATAATAATTATGAATGAAATTCCATCATCATCATCATCATCATTGTTGAGATGGTTTTTTTCTCGATTCTGTGAATCTCTTTGGTTGACACACACACACACACATGTGATCCACGAAAAAAAAAAAACAACAGAAACAAAAAAAACCTCAGTCATCATCATCATCATGGTGATTATAATGATAATGATATGATATTTGTACGAAGATGGAAAGAAAAAAAATCATTTTCAGTTTTTTTCCTCTGTTTTGTTTGCCAAAAACAAATCTTTAATGTTATTATATAAAAAAAACCACAATGGATATTAATGTTGTTTTTTTTTTTCTGTTTTTTTCCCATTCCATTTTCCATATTTAGCTATCTGACAAGAAACGTCTATTCAACGAAATCATGACAATCCAGAAAGAATTTCAAATTCTATAGAATTTAGAAAATTTTAAAAATGCGAAAATAAAAAATGTTTTATCAAACGATAATAATCTCCTTCTACTGATAAATGAAAAATAGATATTTTCAAATGTAAAAATTCAAATGTATCGAAAAAATCGTACTACAGAATCATCATCATTCTATAGGAAAAGAATGCGTAAAAGATTACGATCGCTATAGATCAGCAGCAACAGCAGCACACAAAATTCATTTGGATTTTTTTTTCGCAAATTTTATTTTTTATCAGTCAATACATCCACACCATCATTATCTTAGATTTGTTTGTTTGTTTGTTTTGCGGCAATAATATCGATATGTTTGCCGCAAATCAATCTATCGTCAACAATAACAGTTATAACAATAGTAGTACGATGCCGATCATCAATACGATATCAGCTACGGTAGATAATCAACAACAACAACAACAACAACAACATGGATCAATATATTCTGTTAATAATCAATCAAAACCACTGCCACAGTCATCATCATCATCGTTACAGAATAATCAATCATCAAGATTCCATCCAATCACAACACAATCATCAAACAACACACCATCATTACCAACACCAGCAGCGAATCCGATGCTTATACAACCAAATGCCTTTAATGGATCAACGATTACCGCAACAGCAACAGCACAACAACAGCAGATTGATCCAACAAAATTGACACCACCGATACGATTAACAAAACCATCATGGCCAACGATAATATCAAGTAGTAGCAGTGGTGGTGGTGCTGGTGGACAACAACCAACATCGAATAAACCGCCATCAACACCGTCGCAGCCATCAACCTCGCCACAACCACAATCACCACAGCCATCATTGATCAAAAGGCCTAGTGGTGCTGGTAATGATTCAATAACCGTAACAATTGTACCTCAAACACAAACCTCAGCCTCAGCCACAACTACTACTGCGGTTCCTGGAACACCAGCTACCGCAACATCAACATCAGCAGCTGCAGCTAAACAACAACCAAAACGAATTGTCCGTAAAGTGCCAAAAGTGCCGGAAAAAGCTGAACGTGTTCTTTATTGTCTTCGTCTTAAGAATCCAATACGTCGGCTTTGTATCAATATTGTTGAATGGAAATATCCTTTTCATAAAGCAAAAAAAAAAACAAAACTTTTTTTTTTTCATCTTTTTCAGATTTGCATTTCTCATTTAGTTTCTCATCTTTGTTTTGTTGTTTTCATTTTACAGTACTATAGTATTGATCGTTGAAAAACATTAGGCCAACATAAAATAGGAAAGCAGAAAAACAAAGAGAGACATTTTCAAGATCTAAATACAAAAAACAACAAAACAAGAAAATAATCGATAATCAAAAAAAAAAGATCTCGAAAAAACAACGACGACGACAACGACGACAATTTTATGCAAATCTTTTCTCCTATAGCTTTGCTTGTTGTTTTTGTTATTTTTTTCGGAAAGATTCTTGTCATCAAGATTCAGAATAGATAGAGAATGAATAGAATGGAAAAAAAATTAGATATTTCCCATTGTCATGATGATGATGATCATGATCATCATCATCATTAAATATAAAGAACCAGACCAGAATAGGACTATAGAATAGAATCTTTTTGTTTCCGAAACATTCCTTTTTATTTCGATTCAATGCATCCTTTTTTCTTCTTCTTCTTCTTTTCTTTGATTAATACATTCATTTGATAATCATTGTTTTTTTTCAACATTCTCCTCAATTTGGCCTTTTTTGTGTGCGTGTGTGTGTGTGTGTGTGTGTGTGTGTGTATTGTGTGTGTGTGTGTGTGACGATAATGATCATCATTATTATTGACTTTTGAAAACAATAGAGAACAACAAATGACAACATCGAACCGATGAAAACAGAATCAAATTTCAAATTTTTTTTCACTTCTCAGAATGATTGTTTTCCATAATTTTCTTTGTCTTTTTTTTCGAAATTTTTTTTCATTTTTTTCTTTCCAATGATTACGCCATTCGAATGGCTTATTCTAGTGACCATTTGTTTGAATTGTATTGCATTAGGTGTTTATACACCATATCCTGGTGGTGATTCCAATGATACAAATTTGGTTCTAGTAAGTTGTTTTTTGTTTTCTTTATTTGAAAAAAATGAAATTCATTCCATTCATTTATAACAGGAAAAAATTGAATACGTTTTTCTTGTGATTTTCACATTGGAATGTATAATGAAAATATTGGCCTATGGTTTCATTGCACATCAAAGTGCCTATCTACGTAGCGCTTGGAATCTATTAGATTTCATTATTGTCGTTATTGGGTAATGTATATTTTTGATTGATTGATTATTACGAAACGAAACAAAAAAAAATCCAAAAGTACATTCGATTCGATTTTTGAGATGGAAAATTGAAATTTTATTAGTTTCATTTGGTCGTTTTGTTATTGCTTTTCATTTTTTTTTCATTTCACACACACACACGATTTTTTTTTTTTTTTGTTGGGCGGTGATTTCGTTTTCGTTTTTGTTTATTTTCAATTTCAGAAATTGATTCTCCAAGAAAAAAAACCGAGAAAAAGTCACGTCCATACGGGAATTCTTTGGATGATAATGATGATTCGTTATTGTTTTTTTTTGCTTTTTTTTGCTGTTTGTTTGCCAAGATAACAGATAGACAAATAGACCAAATAAATAAACCAATTCAATATTTGTTTTTTTTGCGTTTTCCAACCAACCAACCGCCCACCCATCCGCCCACGCCTCTCACCAACCACTCACAATCCATTATTTTTTTGTTAAAAATTAATAAATGATCATTTCTTTTTTTTCCTCCACCCTTCGGCCCCCACCCACCCACAATTCACACATCAGTCTAATATCGACCGTAGTGCAACAGATTTCGGCCGAAGGTATCGATGTTAAAGCATTACGTGCATTTCGTGTTTTACGTCCACTACGTCTTGTATCAGGTGTGCCAAGTAAGTATTTGTTGTTTTTTTTTACATTTTGCAAAGAATATTCTTCAAACAATAAAAAAAAGAAATTAGTCCAGATTTGATTAGATTAGATTAGATTAATGTACTACTCTTTGTACTTGAATGAGAAATTTTTTTTAAATTTATTTAGCTAAAAGCTAAATAGAATAATAATTTATAAAACAAACAAACTGCCATCAAGAATGAAAGTGAATAATTGCCAGAATATTCCTGTTCTTCATTGCCACTACTATTTTATTTTCATTTTTTTTTTTTTTTTTTTGTCTTGGAAATCAGACATGTAAAGAAAAAAAAATTTTTTTTTCTTGCAAACCAAACATCAAATGTTTGCTCAATGGATTTACTGATGTAGAGTGCTGCTGCTGCTGGTGGTGTTGGTGTTGGTGGTGGTGTTGGTGGTGGTTTTTTCTCATTCGATTCAATTCATTTGGTTTCACTTTTACAGTTTGATGTTTGTTTAAGCTTTATGGTTGTCGTTTGTTGTTCACTTGTTTCCAAATAATCAAGGCAAACGATGGCATTTGGAAAACAAAAATCTCCCGTTTTTTTCTGTTTGTTTTTGTATAGTAGCAGCTAGTTTGATGATTTTCCAGTGTAAGTGTGTGTGTGTGTGTATGTCTCGGTTTGTGGGTCAATTCTTGTGTATCCATTTATTTTTCTCTGTAATGGACACACACACACACGAACAATGTATGAATGTGAAATGGAAATCATCATCATCATCATTATGATGATGGATTCAATTCATTTCAAATGTAACAATTTAACGGATGGTGTCGAAAAAATGGAACCAAAGAAAAGAATTTTAATAGAAAGTTCAAAATTTTGTCCGTTACATTGTTGTTGTTGAATATCAAAAATCGAAAAAAAATCGCATCCATCAAGTTTGAAAACACACATGGAGAAGAGAGAAAAAAAAACTAGAAGGAAATGGACCATTTGGTTTTTCAAAGTGAAAGTGCCGAAATAAAAACGCTTAAAGTTTCCAAATGGATCACAACAACAAAAAACAACAACAACAGGAAACAACCATCCATTCAACCAATGAATGGATGAAACGAATGAACAAAATGGCGTAAAAATCGTTTCACAACAAAAAAAATAACTGATGTCAAGAATCTTGAAAAAAAACAATGAAAAATTCTGTACGATTCTATTGTTTTCTAGTGAATTGAAAATTTGAAAAAAAATTCCAACTATTCCATATGGTTCAACAAACTGGTCAGTTGATTTTTGGCTGTTTGTTTGTTTGTTTGTCCATTTGATTCATACACAAAAATCCATCAACATCATCATGTGAACAACAACAAATCCCGTGACAACAGGGAAAAAAAATTGGTGGCGCTAGAATTATCGATTCATTCTATGCATGCATGTTTGTGTGTGTGTGTATGTAGCTTGGTGATTATTATATCAAATTTCTCGTGAAAAAAAAACTTTTTTTTTCTTTCTCAATGCCCACTAGTTTATTTGGGTCATGAATTTTTTTTTATTCAAATTTCAACATCCAGTATTACAGATCAAGAGAGAAAAGATGATGATGATGAAGACATTTTTATTCACAGACGACAGAATTTACCGGGCAAAAAAACAAACTCAAACATTCAAACACACACACACACACACACACCGGGAATATCGAATATTGAATGATTTGATTTCTTTACACGAAATGATCATGGGAATACGAAGAGAAAAAAAACAAACAAACTCGGACACAAGAATCTCTTTCATTCTCTATATATTGCTTCTACCATTAAAAATGACCAACTGAATGATGATTGATGATTGAGAAAGAAAAAAAAAGAAGAAGAGATACATTGACATTACAAACCAAAATAAAAAACTGTATCTCTTTTTTCATCTATCTCTCTCTCTCGTTGGAACATTTATTTATTTATGTATTACATTTGGATCATCAACAACAACAACAACAACAACAACGACGACGACGAAAACGAAGAAACTAAAAATTTTGGAATATAAAACGAAAATGAAATGACCAACCAAATGATAAACAACAAATAGCAGAAAATTCCTTTTTTTTGGGAAAAAAATTTTTTTCTCATTGTTCATCGTTTGTTTGTTGATCGAGAGAGATGAAAAATTCTCAAAAAATTCAAACCATTTAATATGAGAGTCAAATATCAGATCCAACAACAACAACAATAACAGCAGAAAAAAATCCATCCGTTTGCCCGTGTGTGTGTGTGTGTGTGTGTGCGTTCCAATCTCCCCCACACACACAAAACATTCATCATCCAATATTGCAAATGTGCATAAAACTACACAAAACGACGACGACGACGACGACGATGATGATGATCTTTTTTTTTTTTCCAGTTGGCCCATCTCGTCGGTCAACGGATATATTCATTAGTGTTGTAGTGGTAGCGGCATCAATAACATAAGTTTCAACATCATCATGATCGTTGACATTTTTTTTTCTCGGTTTTCGACAATATTTTTTTTTCATATATGAAAAAAAAGAATAAAATAAATTTGTCAACCACCCCCGCTACTACTACTACTACTACCACCACCAGTATTTTTTTTTCCTTTTTCTTTCCATCATCATCATCATCATCATTATGGCAATAATAATACACATTCAACAGCAAAAGAATATAAAAAAAAGAAAGAAAAAATTCTGGAACAAATTTGGAACATCACAACCCGAAAAAATGATGATGATGATGATGATGATGACAACATAACATATAAATTTTCTTTCTTTTTTTTATATAATAGCTATCAATAAATCAATAATGATTGATCGAAGAATAGTTGCCAAAGCCATCGTCGTGTTCGTTTTGTTGTTGTTGTTGTCGTCGTCGTCGTCATGTCGGTTTTGTGTGTTTATTTTTCTTTTCTTATTCTTGAATTCAATATTTGATTCAAAAAATTAAGAAATTTAAAACTGAAAATTGATTACGTCATATGTGAAAAGGAAAACAGCTTCATTCGAATGTTTCGAATTTTCTGTATTTTTTATTTATCATCATTATCGATCGTTTGTTTGTATTATTTATTGTTATTAGGTGGTATTGTTATTGGCGTTATTTTGATCAGTACAATTTGAATTGTTTAATTGTCGACGAATTTCCAATTCATATAATTCTGGATAATGTAAACGATAAAATTTTGGTACCAAAATTTTTACTTTTTCTTGTTGATCTGCTGCTACTGTTGAATATTGTTCTATTTGTTCCATATCCACAGATTTTCTGCCATTATTCACACGTGCTTCATATTGTATTAGCTGTTGAATGAAACCAATGTTTGGCCTGATTGGTTGTCGTATGGATTTTATATGCAAAAATGCTTCATACAATGTGAATGTTGTATATTTCACCATATAAGCTAATATTAATGTTGCTGAACGTGATACACCAGCCATACAATGTATGACGGATGAATGGCCACGTAATCGAATGGCTTCCATCAGATCGGCAACATCGTCAAAATATTGTTGTATTGGTTCTTGACAATCATCTTCCACTGGTACACGAAATGTTATTATATCCGATTGTTTCAATAATGGCATTTCATATGTTGCATTAATAATCATTCGAATACGTGATTCTTGCATGGTTTCTATGATCAAACCGGTAGTACCGGTTTGATATATACCTGGTATGATCATATCAAAATTTGAAAATGGTGGCATTATTATTAACGCTGTATCCGGCGGTAATCGATCCAGATTGGAACGCATTTGTTGAATTTTTCGCTTTGTAAATGCTTGATCAGTTTTTATCTGCATTATTGGTTTATTTGTAATGGTTTTTGTTAATGTTTGATCACGAAATAATGGATTGTTTCGAAATTTCGATGTCGATGATGTTAATTTTGACCATTCATCGATTGATTCACATTGTAATAGATAACGTAATAATTCATTTGTACGTCGTAAATTTTTGCCACCACCACCGTTGCTACTATTAATACTAGTAGTACTAGAACTGCCACCATTTAAAAATTCAAATGATTTTTGATTGATTTCTGAATAAATTATCGATGATGATGATGATTCAAATTGTTTTCGATGTCGTTGTCGTCGTTGTCGTTTCTGTTGATTAATCGTCGTTGGCGTTGTTGGTGTTGTTGAATGTTCAGATTGATTAGGATTTATGCCAAAACACGTATTGCCCATTATACAATTTGTCGTATATCACGTACACATTAATAATTTGAATTGAAAATTGATTTTAAATTCATTCATTTTGTTAATTTAATTAATGTTATAATTTTTTCCCATTCCATTCCGTTTCAGGTCTACAAGTTGTGCTCAATTCAATCATCAAAGCAATGGTGCCTTTATTACATATTGCATTACTTGTGATATTTGTTATCGTTATCTATGCCATTATTGGTCTGGAATTATTTGTTGGCCGTATGCATCGTACTTGTTTCAATAATATTACCAGTAAGTTTCATTGGAATCACACACACACACACACACACACACAACATTAACACATTGAGCCTTTTTTTTGTCGTTCTAACTCGTTTCCACACAAATGTGTGCATGCCGGTGGAAATAGTTAATTTTCACAATCATTCGACGACAAAATAAATAAATAAAGTGAAAGTGAAGAATTAGAATTCTATCTATTGAGAATTTCATTTTCAACCGTTCGATTGATGTTTTGTGAAAACAAAAAAAAGAGAAAGTAGATGAAAAAAGCTATTTGTTTGTTTACATTTCTCAGTTTCTGTGTTTGTTTAATGAGAAGTAATTAAATACGAAGATGATGATGATGCTGATGATGATGATGGTTGTGTTTAATCAAAACATCAAATGGGACGATATATGAGAAAAAAAAATTGCTGGTAATAATCATTAGTTTGTTTTTTTTTCTTGGCAATAATGATGATTATTTTTTTTTCTTCAAATCAATCCCTTGTGACGATCTTTTGAAATTGTTTTTCACAATTACATTGACCAAATGATTCAATTTTGAACCGAGAAAAAAATTAATTTTTTTTTCGTTTTTTTTCCATTTGCCACCCAAATAGATGAAATGATGAAAGAACCAATGCTTTGTGGTGGTGAATATCAATGCCACGATATTGATGAATCACCGGATCCATATGTTTGCCGTGAATATTATGAAGGACCAAATGATGGTATTACAAATTTCGATAATTTTGGCCTAGCAATGTTGACAGTATTTCAATGTGTCACCAATGTAAGTAGTAATTTTGCAACATTGATTTGTTTGTCATTGATGGAAATCGATATTATTATTATTATTTTTTTCCATCGATTAAATGTCATGATTATGTTTTTATTACTTATTTTTTTTCTTCAATTTTTACAGGAAGGTTGGACCGATGTTCTTTACTATGTAAGTGGCTTTATCAATAAATGAATCGATTGATTGATACAAACCAGAACCCAATAATGAAATTGAAATTGAAATCTAATCATTGTCATCAACAAACAAACAACAACAATAACGAAAACGAAAAAAGCTAATTTTCACATCTTGGAAATTCTCAATCTGGAATTGTGTGTGTGTGTGTGCTGTCAGAAAAAATTTATCATTTTTTTCTTCTCATGAAAAAATAGAAATAGCCTACTTGACCCAGATTTTTTTTATTTTGTTTCATTTTCATCATCATCATCATCGACAACTGAGAAAAATTGGTTAGGGCTGTTTGTTCAGCTGAAATATTTGTCAACAATAAATGTGTGTGTGTGTGCGTTTGATGATGATTGACAAACCCAACGATATACCACAACTACTACTAACCCGTCAATAAGATTTTTTTTTTTTTTACCATTCAACCAAAACAAACCAAGCGAAAATGATGATGATGATGATGATGAAAAAGAAAAGAAATTCTATAGCCAAAATATAGAAATATAGTAAATTTGAAATTGAAATTAATCTTCAGAAAAGTACGAATGGATGTGATTGCATCAGAGATTGTATTTATATTTATTTATTCATCATGTTGTCAATGTTGATTTTTTTTTCATTGAAAAACTTTTCAATTTTAACATAATCTTTATCAATGTGATTTCTGATTAATTCCTGATTATTGTTTTTTATAATTCTTTTGTTTTCCAATTTCACATTTCCGGAATATTCGCTCAACTTTTCATCGTTCACAAACAAACAAAAAGATCAACGATTCCGTCGGAAATTCGTGGCCTTGGATTTATTTTATTAGTCTGATTATATTGGGTTCATTTTTTGTTATGAATCTTGTTTTGGGTGTTTTAAGCGGGTAAGTAGTATTATTGCTTGCTTACTATTTTATTGATTTATTGATCATCAATATTTTCCCAATTGAATAGTGAATTTTCAAAAGAAAGAGAAAAAGCTAAAGCACGTGGTGATTTTCATAAATTGAGAGAAAAACAACAAATTGAAGAAGATTTACGTGGTTATTTGGATTGGATTACACAAGCTGAAGATATTGATCCAGATGATAAAGATACCGTTGGTGGTGGTGGTGGTGGTGGCAGCGGTGGTGTTGGTGGCGGTGTTGGTGGTAATCGTGGCCGTGAACGTGGACGTAAGTTTTTGTATAATAATAATAACCGTGTGTGTTTTTTTTGAAAAACATTGAAATTTTTTTTTTTTACCCAAAAGAAAGTTTTTTCACATTTTTTTACACTTTGAAAAATGAGTTTATTCACAAAGTTTTTTTCCATCGTCATAATTTATTGTTGTTTTAAGAATTTTCTCAACTTTGCTCTGATCAACAACAACAGCAGCAGGAGATTGGGTAATGACTTGAAAAAAACCGATATCTTTTCATAGTCATCGATACCTTTCCAGGCACGCACACACACACACACACAACACACGCGCAAACAATTTATTTAAATTTTTTTTTTGCTCTTTCACACGCTTCATTTAATCAATTGACTTTTTTTTTTTTTCCATGTTAAAAAAATTGATTTTCAATTTTTTCACTTTTTTTTAGAAAACAATGAAGAAAACGAGATTGAATGTGATGATGATGATAATGGAAACCAGGAAAAGCAACCATCATATTGGACAATGAAAAAGTTTGTTGTTGTATTGAATGATTTTTTTTGCATACAAATTAAAATAATTTTTTTATTCATTTTTCAATTTATTTTAGAATGCAATTATCACGCATTAATCGTCGTATGCGTCGTGCTTGTCGTAAGATATGTAAATCACAAGCATTATATTGGACAATAATTGTGTTAGTATTTTTGAATACATTAACATTGGCATCCGAACATTATAATCAACCACAATGGTTAGACGATTTTCAAGAAGTGGCCAATGTTGTTTTTGTTACATTATTCTTGTTGGAAATGTTATTGAAAATGTATTCATTAGGATTGAAAGGTTATTTTTTCTCACTATTCAATCGTTTTGATTGTTTTGTTGTTATCAGTTCAATTATTGAATCAATATTAACATATTCAGGTAATTTTGGTCATTTTTTTCAGTAATTGACAACTAAATTTTTTTTCCCATTTGTTTAGACGTAATGCCACCATTGGGTGTATCTGTATTACGTTGTGTACGTTTACTAAGAATCTTCAAAGTGACCAAGTAAGTGTTACTGGTTGAATTTTTTTCCCACACTCCCCACCCCCATTGACGGAAAAGTATTATTATCATCATCATTTTTTTTATTCGTGGAATCAAAATTTCCGTTTTCCATATATATAGTATTTTTATTTCTATACAGAAATTGATCATTGAGACAATGGTCAAATTCAAGTGTGTGTGTGTGTGAGTGTTAAATGTTTTGGAATGCCCAAAAAAAAGTATCATTAACATTGATGATCACCATCATTATTATTATTATTGATGAAAAGTTCATCATTATTATTATGAGTGTGTGTTTGTGTGCAGGATAAATAGATAGCCCGAAAAAAGTAAATTCCGGAAAAAATAGATCTTGACGATGATGATGAAGAGTTTTTTTTTCATCTAATTAACTTTTTTTCGCCATTTTTTTTGGTACTAGAATTGTTGTGTTCTGTTGTGTGTGGCAATTACACTTATTGTATACATACAGAATATTCATTCATTCATTCATGTTTTAAGATCGTTAAATTGAAAACAATGAAAATTTACTTGAAATGAGATGATGATGAGAACATTGAAACATTTCACCATTGAATAGAATGAAATGAAAATATTAATGATCCATTCATCCATCATCTTAGCACATTAGTTTTTTTCCACTTTCCTGTCTAAAAAAAAAACAAAAAGTTGTTTTTCTCGAATGAAAAACAGGAAATGTCCAGAATATTCTCGATTCATTCATGTTCTACCCTTTTTTTCTTTTGTTTTTATTACTAGATATTGGTTATCATTACGAAATCTGGTTGCATCATTAATCAATTCAATGCGTGCAATTGCCTCATTATTATTGCTATTATTCTTATTTATTGTGATTTTTTCATTGCTTGGAATGCAAGTTTTTGGTGGAAAATTTAATTTTCCCGAACAAAAACCACGACATAATTTCGATTCATTTTGGCAATCATTATTAACGGTATTTCAAATATTGACCGGTGAAGATTGGAATGTGGTCATGTATGATGGTATCAAAGCGTATGGCGGTGTTTCCAAACCCGGCATTTTGGCCTGTGTTTATTTTATCATTTTATTCATTTGCGGCAATTGTAAGTTTTTTTCTCGTTTTTTATAATTTTCAATTTGATTTTGAATTCATCTCCATCAGATATTTTGCTCAACGTTTTCTTGGCCATTGCTGTGGATAATTTGGCTGATGCTGAAAGTTTAACAATAGAAAAAGAGGATGAAGAATTGGAAGAAGAAGAAGATGGAATGTTGATGATGACACCAGAAGCTATTGAAGAACAGCGAAGATTGAAAAAATTACAACGGCGACGGCGACGACGACGTCGTAGAAGACGATTAAAAAAATTACAAATGTTACAACAACAACAACAACAAAAAGAAACAACTAATGAAGAGCTTAGTGGTAAATCATTAGATTTAGAAATATCATCATCCAACAAAATGATGATTAATGATCCAAAATCTGAAAATAATAATGTCAATGATGATCAAGATGAAGATTATGGTGCTGATGATGATGATGACGATGAAGATGATGATGAAATGGATGATGAAGATGAAGATGATGTTGATGAAAATGACGAAGATGAAGAAATAGAAATTGGTGCAAATCTTGTTGGTGAAGGTGAAATTGACGAAGATGATGATGATGATGATAAACAAGATAATGGAATGAAAATTGTTGTTGGTGCATTACCTAAACGTCTTTCGGAGGTGAATATAACGAAAAAAATACCACCGATACCGAAATCACGGTCGTTTTTTATATTTTCACATACAAATAGGTAATGAAATGAAATTGAAATTGAATGAATTTAAATCAAAAAAAATTTTTTCGTTTGTTTCAGATTCCGTGTTGCCTGTCATCGATTTATAAATCATAATTATTTTGGTAATGTTGTTCTCATGTGTATTATAATCAGTAGCACAATGTTGGCAGCTGAAGATCCATTGAATGCCTTTTCTTATCGTAATATTGTATGTGTTTGTTTGTTTGTTTTTTTTTTTTTTTGATTGATTTGAAAATTTTTTTCTGCAGATTTTAAATTATTTTGATTATTTTTTCACCACAATATTCACCATTGAAATATCGCTCAAGGTAATCCAATGATTTCCAATTTCATTGATGGTTAACATTATTTTCCCTCAGACAATCGCTTATGGTGTTATATTGCATAAAGGAAGTTTTTGTCGTAGCTATTTCAATTTGCTTGATATTCTTGTCGTCTGTTGTTCATTGATTTCGTTCTTTTTTTCGTAAGTTTTTCTTTTGTTTTTGTTTTCATAATTCATAATTTTTGTTTCATGGTCTAACTATTTTTATTTTACCAACATCTAGCAATGGTACATTTTCTGTAATCAAAATTCTTCGTGTATTACGTGTGCTAAGACCATTGCGTGCAATAAATCGTGCTAAAGGTCTCAAGGTATGAGATGTTTGCGTTTTTTTTCTCTCTATTTTTTTTGGTGAATTTATTATTATTGCCCATTTTTTCGGTCAATTTTCTCTCACTACTTATTGCAAATAAATATTTTGCAATAATAATCATAATGAGATAGTTTCAATGTAGATAGAATGTAGCCAGAAAATTCTGGATATGCAACAACAACAACAACAACAAAAAAAATAATAAGAAGAATTTGCATATCCGAAAATTCTTATGGAGAGATTCTTGAAAGTAAAGTAAAGTAAAGTGAAGTGAAGTGAATGTTCGTGTGATGTGAAAAAAAGTGAGTTTTCTGTATAATGAATGGGCGTTTAAGCGTGTGTTTGTGTGAGTGATAAAATAAATGAATGGTTTACACATTCACATAGTCATTCATTTTTTCTTTATTTGTTCATTTTATCTTGGGACAAAATTTTATTAATGAAATAAATGTGTACACGTTTAGCATGTCGTATCCTGTGTAATTGTGGCCATTAAAACCATTGGTAATATCATGTTGGTAGGTATTTGTTCAACACAAACGATGATTTTATTTTGTTTCATTTTCATTTCATTTCATTTTTTTTTTTTTTTTTTTTTTTTTATTTCTTGTTTTTGTTCGCCAATTTTTCGTTTTCGTTTTCATTTTAATTTTTTCCGTTTGTTTGTTTGGTTGGCCATATTTCATTTTTAAAAAATTATTCAAATCCATCAATCAGGTGACATTCTTGCTCAATTTTATGTTTGCTGCAATTGGCTGTCAGTTATTCAAGGTAAAAAAATTAAAAAAAAAAAAACAAAAAACATACTGATTCAATCGACAAAACAGAAAAAAATTTTGTTTTTTGCTTGCTTTTGCTTTATTTTTTTTTTTTTCGTTTTTTGTTTTTCTTATCAACGACAAAACACACACGTTGCATGTAATTATTATATAATGTAAATCACAATGGCCACTACTAATCACGATTGTTGTTGTTCACGCGTGTTTGATATATTTGTATTCTTGTGTGTGTGTGTGAGTGCGATTCGAGAAAGAATTTTTTTATGTAGAAAAAAAAATTTGCTTCATTCTCTCATTGTTTTTCTCTGTCTTTTCTTTTTCTTTCCATTTCCAATCCAACTTCTAACCCAAAAATCATTTGTCACTCATTTGTCACAATCAATGAATCCACTCATTCACTCTTACACTCATCCATTTGATATTCACTTTTTCACTTTCACATTGTCCACGTGTTGTGAATGTTTTTTTTTGTTATTTTGCACGTGTTTTTTTTCCACTTGTCTGTCTGTGTATGTATTAACAACAACAATCAATCAATCAATCAATCAAAAGCTTGTTGTCAAATCAGTATTGGTTGCTATTAAAATGATTGGACAAATTTTGATGGTTACATATCTACTACAATTCATGTTTGCCGTTGTTGCCGTGCAATTATTCAAGGTAATATTGATATAATCAATTAATACTGATTTATTTCAAATTCATTCTCAGGTTGAATTTTCATCATTGAAAAATTTTTTTTGCATGTTACACACACACACACATCTATCTCTTTATGACGCTTGTGCGCTTTCGGGTATTTTTTTGCATTTGTAAAACTATTAAACAACGCCCACTACCTACACAACCACCACTCATGGTGAACTTTATTTTATACATGTTCATTCTACTACAACAAAAAAAAAATTGATCCACAACAAAAACCGGAAAAACTTTTATTTTTTTTTATTTCGTTTCGTTTATCGGCTTAGCTGAAATTCTTCGATTCTTTTGTCTGTGTGTTGTGGCTATTTATAAGAATAAAAAGTTTGTTCGGTTTTAGAATCGCACACATCGTTCAAATTCCCAAATGATGTCATAATGGCTGGAACACTAGTGTACCACCATTGTGATATGAAACAAAGAAAATTACTGATTTTTTTTGTTGTTCAGGATCTTTTGGTCATTATTATCATCATCATTTGGAAACTTTTCACTTTTATCGCCCACGCATTCCGGGCATTAGTGAAACGAAAAAAAAAAAAATCAATCAACTAATTGATAAAAGGGAAAAAAAGATCAATTTTCCTTTTCTGGTGACATTTTTTCTTTTTTTATCATTTCATTGAATAATCTTATTTGATTTTTATTCATTGAAAAATTCTTTGACTTTTTTTTTGTTTTTAATTCTCGAAAAATTTTTATTTGCAAACGAAAACGAAGAAAAAAAACAACAACAAAACAGACAAAAAGATTCACTCTCTCTTTCCATTCATTTGTGTGCAAATAGCGGCTAGAATTCTTTTTTTTTCGGACCATTATTCTTTCTTTCTATCTGCCAACCGAGACAGAAACACAATTGGAATGAAAAAAAACGACAATAACGATAATGGTGATTTGGGTAAAGAGAGAGAGAGAGAGAGAGAGAAAATCAATTTATTTTTTCTGTGTGTTTGTATGTCAGTGTAGCGTCCACATTTGAACTTTTTTTTCTTTTTTCTTTTTGCTTTGAAATGGTCATATAATAATCATCATCAACCATTGTTATTGAAATCGATTTTACTTTCTTTCTCGCTTTTTTTTGCCTTTTTTGCATCTTAATCGTTGAATTTCAGAAAAAAAAACGAAAACAAAAGTTTTTGAGTTTGAAAAAAAACTTTATTTATTTCTTGCGCCGATTGTTTTTCATTTTCATTTTCATTTTTTTTTTTGGTTTTGGTTTTGGACAAAATTTAACCATCATCGTTATTTCTGTTTCGATTCAAGCTTGTGAATCATAATCAAATCAAAATCAATGAACGCTACCACCAGCATCACCAGTGTGTGTGTGTGTGTGTGTGTTTGATTTACTTGCCGCCCGTGCCATATTGGTTTTTTTTCATAGAAATTCAATTCGAGTAAAAAAAACTGAATTTGACTATTATTCATGTGTGTGTGTGTGTGTGTGTATGGCATAATATTTATTTTATACTCGCTATTTATGTATTTTCATCTGTGGCATTTTTCTTCTTTTTTTTCATCACGAAAATTCAATTTGATTCAAAATTCAATTTTTTTATTCTTCTATTGTCGTTGTCGTCTTAAAACCACCAGAAAAAAAATATTAATGTGAAACATTTAGCCCGTACATAAGTTTGAAAACTTTTTCTTTTTGCTTTTTTCAATGTTTTCAAAATGCCGAACATTGTCCTGAAGCGAAATTCTTTTTTTTTCATTTTTCTTTTCTTATATTCATTCATTCATTCACTCGTTTCATTTGATTGAATGAAATGAATTTGAAATTTTTTTTTTTTTTGCAACAATTCATCACCAACTTACACACATACATTTCAAACTTGTTTTGTGTGAATAAATATAGCACTAATTAATTTACGTCACCTTTTGCATCATTTCAGCAACTTTCACCGTTGCTGCTGCTAATATTGCATGTTAAATGTTGTCAATTTTTCATCACTTGATCACACACGACAACTACACACGCACACATAATCGATTGATCGATATGAATCTTTAATTTTTGTTTTCTTTCTCTCTCTCTCTCTCTCTCTCTCGCTTATAAAGGGAACACTATTTGAATGTACGGATATATCGAAAAGTGTTGAAGAAGAATGCCAGTAAGTTTGTTACCATATAATTGTTTGACCAAAATTTTGAATTTTGAATTTTGAATTTTTTTTCTTCCTTCAAAAAAAAATAATCATAGAGGATATTTCATTTCATATGATGATGAAGGCAATCCCGAAATATCGGAACGTAAATGGGATAGAAATAAATTTCATTTTGATGATATCGGTGCAGCAATGTTAACACTTTGTACTGTATCAACATTTGAAGGATGGCCAGAGTAAGTGATCAGATTGATTTTGATTTGAAAATAAAAAAAATACAGAGATAACAAACATACATTCTTTGTCATTCATTGTCTACAAAAAAAGTCTATTACATCGATCTATTGATTCACATGCAGAAAATTATGGTCCTGTTTATAATAATCGTCCATATGTGGCCATATTTTATATAATTTACATTATTGTCATTGCATTTTTTATGGTCAATATTTTTGTCGGTTTCGTTATCGTTACTTTCCAGAATGAAGGTGAACAGGAATATAAAAATTGTGAATTGGATAAAAATCAACGAAATTGTATTGAATTTGCATTGAAAGCTCGTCCTGTACGGCGTTATATACCAAAAGGTTTGTTGTTTTTTTTTTCATTTTCTTTCATCATCCAACATATGAAATTTGTCCCAAATGTTTTTGTCTGTGTGTGTGTGTGTGTGATAAATAACCACCGCAGTAAATTGTAGCTCGGTAGTAAATAATAATAATTCGGTTATATATGAATAACCGAATACCCGCACACACACTCACACACACATGAATGTCAAAATGCACTATAATTTTGCAGTTGATCCACTTGGAAACTTGCCACCATTTCCGGAATTACATTTTTTTTCTGTAATAAATGTCTGTAATTTTTCTTTTCGTAAATATAAAAAAAAAATGATGATGATTCTGGGCAATTTTCTTCTTATTTTTTTTCGAAAAGAAAAAATTCATCAAAAATGAATGAATGGAATGGAATGATTTTTTTCATTCAAGAAATTCTTTATTTTTTTAAAACAAAATTTTTTTTCACATTTATTTTTTCTCTCTCAATTATTCTAGCACGTGTCCAATATAAAGTATGGTGGCTAGTGACATCACATTATTTTGAATATCTAATATTTGCAATGATTTTACTCAATACAATTACATTGGCAATGCGGGTAAGTTGTGTTTCTGAATCTGTTTGTGTGTGTGTGTAATAAATGAATTTGATTTTTATTTTTGTTTTTTTTTTACCTAAAAACATTCATTCCCAATGGTGTAATCTATACTACATGCACGTACACATCGTATTCATTCATTCATTCATATATATATAGTATAATAATCAACCAGAATCATATTCATACGTGCTTAATGTATTGAATATAATTTTTACTGCATTATTTACAGTGGAATTTGTATTGAAATTATTTGCTTTCCGTTTTAAGGTATGTTTGTTTGTGTGTGTGTGTGTGTGACCCTTAATGACCATGAACTAAATTTTTTTTCTGATACATTTAGAATTATTTCGGTGATCCCTGGAATTGTTTCGATTTTTTTATCGTATTGGGCAGTTTAATCGATATTGTTTTCGAACAAATCAATGTTTGTTTGTTTGTTTTTTTTTTGTACAAATTGCTTAGATTCTGACTAGCTAAATTTTTTTTTTTTTTTGTTTTTCATTTTATAGCCACATGAATCCAAAGGAAAAGCCACTGTTCGACCAACATTTTTACGACTATTTCGTGTAATGCGTCTAGTAAAATTATTAAGCCGTGGTGAAGGCATCAGAACATTGTTGTGGACATTTTTGAAATCATTTCAGGTTAGGTTCTTCTGAAATTCTCTTATTCATTTCATTTTCTCATTTGATTTTGATACACAAAAAAAACAGGCCCTACCATATGTTGCATTGCTGATATTAATGTTATTCTTCATTTATGCTGTGATTGGAATGCAAGTTTTTGGAAAAATTGGCCTAGATGATGAAACCAGTATAACAAGAAATAATAATTTTCAAACATTTTTTCAAGCCATTTTGGTACTATTTCGTTCGGCTACTGGTGAAGCATGGCAAGAAATAATGATGGATTGTGCCGATACACGTGATGTACGATGTGATCCACTGTCAGATGAAGGATCTAAAGATCGTAATGCAAATTGTGGTTCAATGTTGGCCATACCGTATTTTATTTCATTTTATATATTGTGTTCATTTTTGATTATCAATCTTTTTGTTGCTGTTATTATGGATAATTTTGATTATCTAACACGTGATTGGTCAATACTTGGTCCACATCATTTGGATGAATTTGTACGGCTATGGTCGGAATATGATCCTGATGCTAAAGGACGTATCAAACATTTGGATGTTGTTACATTGTTACGTAAAATATCACCACCACTTGGTTTTGGAAAACTTTGTCCACATAGAGTTGCCTGTAAACGATTAGTATCGATGAATATGCCATTGAATAGTGATGGTACCGTTATGTTTAATGCAACATTATTTGCCATCGTACGTACAGCGTTGAAAATTAAAACCGATGGCAATATTGACGAAGCAAATGAAGAATTGCGTGCTGTTATACGCAAAATATGGAAACGTACTAGTCCAAAATTATTGGATCAAGTTGTACCACCGGCAACGGATGATGAAGTTACTGTGGGGAAATTTTATGCCACCTTTTTGATACAGGATTATTTTCGTCGTTTCAAGAAAAAGAAAGAAGAACGTGAACGTATGAATAATCGTGATCTCGAAGATACGGTAGCATTACAGGCTGGTTTGCGTAGCTTACATGAATTTGGCCCAGAAATTCGTCGTGCCGTATCCGGTAATTTGGATGAAGATAACTTTGAAAACGGACCAGATTGGGAACCAATGCATCGTCGTAATCATACATTATTCGGTAATGTATGGTCACAATTATCGACGGTGAAATTACGTAAAGCACCGGCCACATTTCATCAAAGCGACGGTAAAGATGATCATGAATTTGTTTTTTCACGAGGTAAACCAATGTCTTTTTTTTCTATCGAAAGTAATTCTAATCAATTGTTTTGATTTAATTTGATTTCATACAGTTCAATCAGGTCGACAACCACGTAATAATGATAATGGCCGTAATAACAGCAATAGGTAAGAAGATTTTTTTTTCGTTTCATCAAATTATTATTGTGTTTGAAACTTTTTTTTGTGGCTTCCGATTTTTTTTTGTTTCTCTGATATTTTTGTTGGTTGTTGTTTGGTTTGCATTTCGTTTTCTGGTTTTGTTTTGTTTTGTTTCGTTTTTTTTTTTGATTTCCTGTTTTTTTTTATTTCATTACGGTGGTTGATTACACACAAACATACAAGCACGCACAACGAATTTTGCTTTTTTTTGGATGGTAATTATTTGTTGTTGTTGTTGTTGAGCATCTTTGCGTCGGCGTGTATGTATTTTGCATCTGATTTTTTCAATTTTTCCTTTTTCTCCTCAATTTTTTTTGGCCCTTGTGGTTCTGCTGCTTATTTATATTTATATATATATTTATTATTAAGCAATCAAAATTACGCTAATGTGAGCGAAAAAAATAATAATGATGATGATAATGATAATTACCGGATAATTGAAACGGATATGAATCATAATAAATTATTATATGGAAAAAATGAAAAAATTTCCATCAACAACAGCAAAACAATACATCTACATCCACGTTTATATTACAATGTTCATAATAAAACTATGATGATTTCGAGCAACATTGCTGTTGATGATGATGATGATGATGATGAGAATTTGAGAAATTTCAATCAACCATCATCGCCACCAATTGATGATTATAATATTGAATTATTATCGTCGAAAATGAAACAACAACCACAACAGGTAGCACCACCAAGGCCACCACCACGTGCATATTCATCATTATTACCGATGGCAAGAAATTATTATTCACCAATTTATCATCATCATCATCATCATCACCAACATCATCCATTTTATTATTATGTTTATGAATACTGTGATATTGTCGATTATCATCATCATCATTATTATCCATATCCAAATCTATTACCATTATCATCATCAACATCTGCTTTAGTGCCTTCTGTTTGTATTAATAATAATGATGGTGGTAATAATGAATTTTTCGATGAAACCATGATACCATTACTACCACCACCTCAATCATCATCATCATCATCATTACCATTAAGTCCATTATCAATGCCATTGATACCACCACCACCATTATTTCGTAATAATAATAATTCAATTATCGATCATACAGGAAGATCAGAATCAATCGAAAATGGTAATAATAAACCGGAAATGATGAAATCATCATCATCATCATCAGTATCAATAATGCATTTACCGCAATCAGCATCAACAAATTTGCTTCGGTATTGAAGTCTGTTTTTTGTTTTTGTTTTTATAAATTGCATGTTAAATTTCTGTTTTGATTTATTCACTGACCAAATTTTAGATTTTTTTTCGGTTTGATTGCATGAAAAAACAAACGTTGATTGTGTAGTGGCATGTGATGTCCTTTTTTTCTGTGATGAAAATGTTTATTTTTTTTTACTGAGAAAAAAAAAAAATTCCTAATCAATTTTTCATCCCATCACCATCCTCCTATCCATGAATCAATCAATCAATCAATTTTTGTCCGTTTGAACCGATAATCGAAAAAAAGCAATGAATCACAATTAGAAATGAAAACAGTTTCTGTTATTGTACATGAAAATATTGATGATGATGATGAAAAACGACAACTACCACCACCACCTGATATTGTTGTTGATATGGATACATCATCGTCATCATCATCACAATCGATACAATCGAATAACAATATTGATCTTTGTTCTATAAATTTATTAGATGAAATAATGAATGATAATTCAATTGTTTCTGGTAATAATCAACATCATCATTATCATCAACAGCAACAACAATATGAAAGAAAATTATCAAATTCATCATCAATTAGACGTCGTCTTTCTGGTTGTTTACGTAAACAAGATAGTCATGAATGTCCAATTTTAAATGTGGATGATGTTGAGAATGATGATGATGATAATCAATCAACAACAACAACAACAACAGCAACACAACAACCATCAAAACGAGAACGAAAAACAAGCTGGTATCGACGTGCAAGTAAAATTATTAATCGTCAACGTTCGGTTAGCGCTGATCATGGTCATGGTCATGGTCATCGATCATCATCGACAACAAAAAAATCTTCATCTACATCAAATTTTGATACTGTCGGTGATAATGATGATTTATCAACCAAAAATGTGATAGCAGCAACTGGAAGATGTCGGTATTCATTTTCAATTGGTGATAATCATCATACAATTGGTGATTTAAAAATTTTTCCATCTCCTCATCAACAACAACAACAACAACAAAAGCCAGAATTAACAAGAAATCGTAATTTAGAGATATCTACCTTATTAGCCGATGCTTCGAAACGCTTTCTAACTGCTTCATTTAATGATTTAATGATAGTAGTGCCTTCCCACCACAGCCATCATTCATCATCATCGTTAACATCAACAAATTTACAACAAGCGAAATCTAAACCACAACCACCACAACAACAACTACCACGATCAAAATCGCAAAGTAAATCACCATCACCTCGGTCATCATTTTCAACATCGTCATCAACAACATTGAAACCAATTGTACATTCTGATAGTAATTTAATTTTAATCAATAATAATAGGCAACCATTACAACGAACAAATAGTGGTGGTGGCAAACCATCCGGTGCTGCTGATGCATTAGTTGATCGTATATTACGTGAAGAAGGATTGGGTAAATATTTGGATTCGGCAGTGATTCGTGCTGCACAACAAGAGCTAGCTGAAGCTTGTGATTTAACACCTGAAGGTAAGTGGTGGTAGTGTGGTCGTGGATTTTTTTTTTTTTGAAAATTTTTTCCAAAAAAAAAAAGAAATGGATCGTGCTGCACAACGTCTATTACAATTGGAACAAAGAGCACGTAATAATGCTGCTAGTAGTGGTGGTGCCGGTAGCGGTGGTGGCAATCAAAATGCAAATCAACAACATCGTCATTGAATCATTTTTTGTTGCCTTTTTTTCTTGATTACCAAGAAAAAACAAACGAGCTCTGTGATAATTGTGAAAACAAAAAAAAAATCTGAATTGAAACTACAACTATTCAGTACAAAATACTGATGATGATGATGATGATGATGATTAAATTATGAGTCAAATTTGTTATCTTTCTTTATTATTGTTTGACCCAAAATAACCAAAAAAAAAAAAAAAAAATCTGAAATGAATCATTGCGTTATTATTGACTTCCGTTGTTGTTGTTGTTATTGTTATTGTGAAAAAAATGAAATAAAATTTATGTCATCATCATCATCATCATCATCATCGTTATATTTTTTTTCGGTCAAAATGACAACAAAAAGCAAAAATCTAGAGCTGAAGAATTGAAATACCAAAAAAAAAAAAAAAAAAAAAAATTGTATCTCTATTTATTATTATATTTATTACAGACAAACACACACACACACAGACAAAAGTTTTTGTTAGTTGAATTTCCGTCTTTTTGTTTTTTTTTTTTTTGGTTAATTTATGTTTTTTTTTCTTGTTGTTCTTTTACCACTACTACTACTACTACTGATGATGATTATGATGATCAGATTACACCATCATCATCATCATCATCTTGTTCTTCCGCTTCTTTTGCCTCTCTTGATTCATCTATATCCATCCATCTATATTTAGTCAAATAAATCTTTGCTATGTATATTGTGTGGTTTTGCTTGTTGATTTTTTTTTTTTTTTTTTGGTTTAAACCACAGAAACAAAAAAAAATTGAATAATTCCATTTGTAACACACAACACACACACACACACATCTAGTCGCTAGACAACAAATAAATAAATGAATGAATGAAAACAAACAAAAAAAATCTCGGTGCAAAACCATGTAATTCTCTCTTTCTCTCTCTCTGGAATCTAATGAATCGATATATAATTCATTAATTCACAGTAACAGTTATTAAGTCACAGCAAAAGTCAGTTTCATTGAATTATTATCATCATTATCATCATCATTATATATTAGGCCACAACAACATCAAAACAAAACAAACAAAAAAAAATTCTGTTCACCAACACTTGTCCAGTGTTTTTTCGATTTTTATCTCTGTTGTTTGTCCACAATTCCGTTTTTGTTGTTGTTGTTGTTGCAGAATCATATTTTTTCGGTGCCTTCTTTGTACAATGACCACTACCTATTGTTGTTGTGTTGTCCACGAATGAAAATGAAAAAAAAACAGAACAGAATTAAAAATCAATCAATCAATCAATGATTAATTTTGAAAAAAAAAATTTGTAATAAATTTACAAAACACACAAATTTTACACTCACACATTGAATCTTTTTCTCATTTTAAAAAATGAACAAAAAAAAAAAAAAGGCATCATCAGCAGCACAATTGAAATTTTGAAAATTTATTAACCCTTTTTTTCGACGAAAAAAATAAAAAAAATTTTTCTCTTTGAAACATTCAAAATGTATGTATGTATGTATGACTATAGTTCAAAATGAACACGTCGTTGTCGTTTGTTTTGTTTATGTTGTTCATCATCACCATCTGAAGTTGAAAATTTTGCTGTTGATGTTGATAACCATTGTAAACGTTCACCTTGTTCAATACGTCTGGTGGCAATATATTCAAATTTTCCATTATTTGTAAATCGACGATATACATTCATCATCGATGATGGTGATGCATGATTATGATGATGATGATGATTGATTAATTGTAAACCAAATGTACCAAAACCAATGCCAACTAATTGTTTTCGTTGTTGTTGTTCATTCAATTTCCAAATTGTCATTTTTTGTTTTATAAATTGATTCAAATAATAACCATCCAATACGGTCAATGTGACCATTATCAATGGGATTATTTGGATCAAATCTTTTAATTCGGCTTGTCCATATTGACCATCATCATCATCATCGCCATCATCGTGGACATTTAAATCAAATTTAGTTAAGTTAAATTGATTTTTCATTATTAATGATAATTGTAATGATTTTATCAAAATTTTTTGATAATATTTTTGATCAATATCGATTTGATTTAAATCCAATGATCCACATGAGTGATAGAGCATATTATAATATGCAAATAGTGGATATTCTTCTTCACGTTTCTGTTTCAATAGTTTATGATATGCACGTGTTATTGAATATTTTTTTGATAATCGTATCAATTTTCTCAATGGTAATTTAGCAAATAAATCATAACAAATGGCCATTTGTTGATCATCATCATCGTTTTCAATCAATGATTCAATTAAATATTGTGGTGATAAACAACAAATTCTTTCATGATGATTATCATCATTGGACATTTTCATACACGATTGTTCACAATAAACAACTTCAATACATTTAGCGCATGGATAAAATCTATAGCCAAGACGACGATTACAATTTGCACAATATTTATAATCATCATTTTTCATTGTCGTTGTTGGCGGTATTCTAGTCATAATCATTTCATAGAAAATTTTTTCCTTTTCATTTATTGTACGGCCAGCCATCAAATTTCCATGATCATCAATCAATACAGTATTGGCGGCATTGGATTCAGCGAATATATTGGTAGGATTTAATTTTTTAAATTCTTGCTAAAATTTAAAACACGACTGGTTAATATATACACATCATATATAAACCCACACAATAATCACTCTTACCTTATCCGGTTCATTATGGTGGATTTGTTCACGTAAATCATCAAAATGCCTGTGTTCACCTTTCTCATTCAGAATATTCAATTGTCCATAAACAAAACGTAGATCCATCTGATATTTTGTTGGATTCAATTGTGAAAGAATTTTTAATTGCTGTAGAAAATATTCTGATTTTTCAATATTTTTTTTAGCATATTTTTTTCCTTGATAATCGGCAATATACAATGATTTTGTTGCTAATCGATAAAAACTGATTATGGCAAATTTCAATAATTTCCAATCATCATGATTATGATGATGATGATGATGATGATTACGATTCTGTGTTAATAATAGCCATTCTAAATCATGTGATGCATTTACATAATCTTGATTTCGAAAGAAAACCGTTGCTCTTTGCCGTACGCTATTGCGCAATAGATTCCATTCATCATCATTGTTGTTGTTTGATCCATAAATCATTGCCTAAGAAAAAACGAAACGAAATGAAATGAAATTTTTGAAATATATAAAACATCCAAACCTGATTAATATATGAAAGTTTTGTATGATAATCTTTTTCACGTATACTACAATTATAAAATTGAATGGCTTTGATGTCATTTTTTTCATTCATCCGTTTAACATTGGCTATAACTTGTTTGACATCATGATCGATCATTTGAAACTTTTTTGCTAATGATCCGTGCATTGATTTGATTTTGTTGAAAAATTTATTCAATAAAATGTTGAAATTAATTTTTCCATCATCATTGTCGTCGTTGTTGTAATCGATTTTCGAATCGCAAAACAAATTATTCCGGATAAATGTAAAGGAAAAATCATAATGATCAAATATTTGCTGTAAACTACAATTATCTAATGATTTTTCGTCATTGCTGTTGCCATAGAACTTGGATTCCTCATCATTCATCGATTCATCACCGGTTGTAATAATACGTAACATTTGTTTGGTGGCCATTTTTTTTAACAAAAAAAACTACGCAAATAAACAAAAACGAATAATATAATCGTGAAATTTCAATTTTCAAATTTATGCAATTTTTTTTTCACTCTCCTTTATTAAATTTATTTTATTATTCATAATTTTAATTTTAATTCTAATTAATTATAATTTCAAGATCAAAGAAATGTTGTTGACTTTTTTTTCGAAAACAAAAACAAACAAACAAACAAAAAAAATTTTTAATTTGGAAAATGCATCGATGATAAACACCGTGCTGCCATCTACATTATTTTTTTCAGTGGATATGAGTTTCAATCTTGTAACGATAGTTGGCGCCAGGTCTTTATATTACACATATAAAAAATAATATTCTATACTATATATTCGTTCATTGTTCTGTGCATTCTGATTTTTGAATTTTTTCATCATCACATTGATTATCATTTGTTAATCTAGGTTTTTGTTCTTGAAGCATATGAGATTCAATTAATAAATGATCTTTGGTATTTATCATTTCAGTTGTATTAATAACACGACGATCATCATCATCATCATCATCATCATTTTTCGATTGATCATCATTATCACGTCGATTTTTTTCCGATCGATTTAAATCAATATTTTGATTCTCCAACAAACCGGAAACATTTGGTGAATTTATATTACTGGCTGTAGTTTGTATTGAGAATGTAGAAAAATCTCTTGGAATTCCTCTATTGCCATTGCCACCATAAACTAGATATCCATGGCTACCATGTTGTTGTTGTTGTTGTTGTGCATATGGACCACCATCATAATGATCAAAATGTAATGCACCACCTGTAAAACTTCCAAAACTATTGGCAAATTCATCTTCATTATCCAATAATTCATCATCATCAATTTGTGGCCGATAAGAAAAATTCACTGCACCACGAACATTTTGATTGAATAGATTTGTTGGCCGTGTTAATGGTACAATAGGACGATTCGAATTTGAATGATGATGATGTGTAGATGATTCAATACCGGCTGTTGTTGTAACTAATGCTGATGAAACTTGATTCGTAGTACTAGCAGCTAAAAATGGTGATAAAAATATAAAATAAACAAGTGGTGTGAAGAATGTAAAATATAAATATGTTGTCGCATCCACAATACATAATCCTTCTGGTACATTTAAATAGAACAATAATGCACCGATTGCTTGTATCAGATTCAGTGTCGATAATGTTGCTGCATAAAAATAGAATGATTTTTTGGCTGTATAATCAAAAAAATAATAATAAAAATGTACAAATCATTTGTTTGTTACAGCTGTCAAACTTACTTGGTAACAAAAGACGATGACGACATGGTGACCATGGTAATAGTACAACGATCAAATAAATGATGAATGAAAGAAAACAAGTGCCAAACCAGAATATCATTCCACCATGTCCAAATAAATAATATGATTTTGAATGTATATAGAATGATGAATCTGGAGCAATAATTTCAAATGAACCTTGACATATTGAATATATTAATGATAACATTAATGTAATGGTCAATATACGACGTATTGATTGTCGAACATCAAGATGACCAGCAAATAAACCGAATACAAGTACAGATATCTCGGTGGAAAGTAGAAAAAATCGTACAATCACCCAGAATATCTAATGAAAAGAAAAGAAGAAAAAAAATGAATATATTTTGTGAAACAATGTGTAGCCGTTAGTTTACCTTGTCGGTAAGATCGCCACCAAATGTATGTACTTTCATCAACGATGAAATTATACATCGTATTGATGATATAATGATACATAAATAGATGAAAATGTAGAAATTTCTTAAAATTGGAAAATTTTTCAATTGTCGTACACGATCTTTAGCCGATTGTGAATGCCATATCATATAAAGAAGGAATAGAATATTCGGAATGAATATAATTAGGTCCCATATGTGAATGCTAAATTTTAAAGGAAAAAAAATTTTAAATGAATCAATGAATTATATATTAGTATAATAATAATTACCTGGTATCATTGATTTCTTTATAAAGAATCACTTTACAAAAATGCAAATCATCTACAAATATATCATGATTATTTGTAATCAAATTGGTCATATTTGAATTTAAACGATGTAATAAATGTACATCTTTATTATTCGCCATCATCGTGATGAATTTTTTTGTTGATTATTCATTGATTTGATGATGATGTTACCGAAACCGAACAAATGTAATGACCGGTGTCACCAAATGTCAGTCAGAAGCAAAATGAAATTGAAACTTTTACTATTTTCTATGCTTTATAATGAACAAGAATTTTAATTCTTAAAATAAAAAAAAATAGCCAGAATAAAACATTCTTTTGTCACGTCATTTATGTACGGTCGATTGTTATTGTTTAATTTTTAGCTGCTGCTGCTGCTGCTGCTGCTTTTTTTCCCATTGTGCTATTGTTGTTGCTTACGACGACGTTCGATGATGATGATGATCATTGCGTTTCATTTTTTTTTTTTTTTACACACACAATCCAATTCACATACAACAACAAATAGAAAGAGCAAGAGAAACAGTGAAACAGTGAAAAAAAACTACGCCGTCACCAGAAAAAAAAAATTGAATGCCAATCTCGTTTGGTTCTCTCACAAATGTTTTTTTTGTGGGTAGTAGAAGTATATATTGATCATCAAAAGAAAAACAAATATTTTGTGTATGTGTGACAAATATAGATAGAAAGATCCTGATGCTGGTAAACATCATCATCATCATCATCTGTATAATTATACTGATCCTATTTCAAAGTGAAAGATATCATCATCATTTATTTTCATCTTCGTAGTGATTTATTTATTTTTTATTATTATTATTTGCTGGCCCCAATTATTGACAAATTAATGAATTTTGATTGAACGGAACAAAAAAACAAAACAAAACAGAAAAAAATCATTCAAATACAATAAAAATTGAATCATCATCATCACCATCATATTTCATCGTCTATTTGTTTTGGTTGATTGATTGTTGATTGTGGGTAATTTTGATTCCATTAGTCATCAACAACAACATCATCATCAAATCTGCCATTGAATTAATTGTTTCTCTCTCTCTGTGTGTGTTGTGTTAGTGTCATTATTGTTGCCTTTTGTTTTTTTTTTTTGTTCATCAAATTCCTTTTCAGGTAAATTTTTTTTCCTCATTTCAATATTGATGAAAATGAACCGATTGGTTTGTGTGAAATCAATGCAAAAAAAACGAAGAAAAAATCTGGTGCTCGGATGATTCGAATGGATGAATGAACCACCCACAAAAAATTTTTTTTTTTCATATCTTTTTTTCTCTTCTACTGCCATTGATATATAGTTTATAGATGGCTGATTTTTTTTCATTTCATTTGATTGATTTTTTTTTAGTCGATAGTGTACATATTTGATGTGGATGGTTATCAATTTTTTTTTTTTTTTTTTTTTTGAAAATGTTTCTGATGTGTGTGTGTTGTATGTGACTTTACCATATACACATTTGAATGAGAGCAACAAACATTCATTTCTGTATATTTACATAAACACATTGATTGACTAATTATTCTTTTTCTTCGTTATTTTAGATAAATTTTAAAAAAATTCTCTGGTCAATCATCGATAATCATTATATTGGATTTATTCTTCATCAATCATCAAATCGATAATTAAATAATTGAATTCATTTTCTCTGTTTTTTTTCCTGGCTATTTCATCGTAATAAAAATAAATAAACAAATAAATCATCATCATTATGGCATCACGTAAAAAGGCATTGTTAAAAGTAATCATTCTTGGTGATAGTGGGTATGTTATAATCGTGTAATTTTTTTTTTGCCGTTTATTTTTTTTTTTTTTTGACGAATTTCCTGGTTGTTGTTTTTTCTTTTTCCTTTTTTTTTTAATTGATGATTTCATCATCATTGATTGCTATAGTGTGGGGAAAACATCGTTAATGAATCAATATGTAAATCATAAATTTTCCAATCAATATAAAGCGACTATTGGTGCAGATTTTCTCACCAAAGAAATTATTGTTGATGATCGTCTTGTTACTATGCAGGTTTGTTTTTACTGGTTTTTTCAATTCAATTTGGTTGATGTTACAAATTTTTTTTTCTGTTCTATTAGATTTGGGATACAGCAGGACAGGAACGATTTCAATCATTGGGTGTTGCATTCTATCGTGGTGCCGATTGTTGTGTACTTGTATATGATGTAACATCACCTGGTTCATTTAAATCATTGGATTCATGGCGTGATGAATTTTTGATTCAAGCATCACCACGTGATCCGGAAAATTTTCCATTCGTTGTTATTGGTAATAAAGTTGATCTGGATAATCGTGCCGTAAGTTTAGTTGTTTGATTTGAAATTGACATTTTAATTGAATTTTTTTTCCACCCCATATAATAATAAGGTTTCAGCTAAACGTGCACAAGGATGGTGTCAAAGTAAGAATAACATTCCATACTTTGAAACAAGCGCAAAAGAAGCCATTAATGTTGATCAAGCATTTTCAACTGTAGCCAAAAATGGTTTAGCCCAAGAAACTGAAGTTGAATTGTATAATTCTGAATTTCCTGATAAAATTAATCTTTCACAGGATCAAAATCAACAACGAAATGATAATTGTGCTTGTTAAATTTTTTTTTCTTTGTCTTTTTTGTAAATGAAAACAAAAATAATCAACCTAATAATTGGATTCGAAAAAAATAATTTTCACACACACACACACACACACACTCAAAATCGATCTGTGTTGTGAGAAAAAAAAAATTTGATTCTATACGATGTGTACCAGCCAACACACATACACACACTATAATAGCAGAAGACAGCTCTACACAATCAATCAATGAATCGCCCATTAATTTTTATCTTCAAAACCAACAAAACCACCCCCCTCAACCCCATTTATATATTCGTATTACTTATTAATATTATTATTACTACTCAGAAAAAAAAACAAAAATAAAATAAAAATGATGATTATTAATTATTGATTGATTTTCATATTCAATTTCGATTTAACACACACACACACACATAAATAAACAAACGACGATTTTGTAAAAAAAACGATCATTAATAATTTTTAAAATGTTGGAAAAATAAAAGCAAAAAGTTTTTCAGAAAAGTTTCAGATCGTACTGTCAATTTTGACCTGAATTTTTTTTTAGATTTCCTCATTGTGCATCATCATCATCATCAACAACAACAACAACAACCACAACAACAACAAGTGGCGGAATCAAGTAAAAAAAATCGATAAAATCATCATTCTCAATCAGACAAAATTATCATCATCATCATCAAAAAGCCACGCCACTACTACAACAACCAAACAACCACTTTTTTTTATTAATTGAATCATCATTCTATCAAGTGTTTTTTTTTTGTTTTGTGTGTGTATTTCATCATTTGATAACTGTTTTGTGTTTGTGTGTGTGTGTGTCTGTGGAAACATACATTTTGCACTGAAATGAATGATGATGATCAATATTGTTGTTGAGGCTCGTGGTTGTTTTTGTTGCTACGTCGTGTTTTTCTTCTGGAAATACACATTTACATTGGTTGATGATCATCATCGTTGGATTTTGTCATGAGTTGAGCATAGTGTATACATCAATAAACATCATGAATTTGTGAATTTTTTTTTTTTTGAAAAAAATTAACTGTCATCAACCATCATTGTTGTTGTTGTTGTTGTGATTTTTTTTAAATTAAAAGTTTTTTGACAACAAACAACAACAGCCATGCCATTACAAAATTGTTTTCATCATTTTCATTATTTAATAACCAGTGTTTTTATAGTTTTTTCTTTGATAACCATACTACAATCATTATCACAACAAATAGTGAATAATAATTCCGCAAATCGATCCATAATCGATGATGATCATGTGGATGATAATTATAATTTAATCAATTTGACGGATAAATTGTCAAATTTTAATTTTGAAAATTTTTTCCTTCCATCATCATCATCGTCATCATCATCATCACAGTCACAATCCAGATTATCATATGGTACAACAAAATTTCTTGCACCGGAAGCAATATATTCACCATTCAATCCACAATCAATGATTGAAAATATATCGGCCATACCATTAGCATATGGTGATTTTGATTCAGATAAATTTACGGATATTTTTATGCTTGGCAATAATGGTACCAGCATTTATCTATTGAAAGGACATTCATGTGTTGATGGTAAAACGGTGTTGACATTTTTTGGTTCACGTCGTTGTTTATCGATTGTCCACGATTTTCATTGTCATTTATCAAATAATGTTTACAATTTAATTGCATCTGATTTTACTGGCCATATGCATCAAGATTTATTGATAACGGTGAAATCAACGAAATTTAAATCACGTTATGATATCATACTAGTCAATGGTAATACAACAGCTGAAGAATTTAATTGTAATGAACGAAAAAAAATTCTAATCAATAATGCAAAAAGTGAACCATTCATTTTGGGTAAGTGTGGGTGTTCAATATATTGTTCCAAAAGTTTTTCATAAAAATTTTTCGTTTCCATTTGAAAACATTTAGATTACAATGGTGATATGATCTCTGATTTTATTGTTGAAACCGATGATTGTTCATTACAACTTGTACTTGGTGGCGTGACCGATACTACTATCGATACAATCGATCATTATAATAATTTAACAATCGATTCAAATCACGAACCAAAGAATCGATATGTTTGTCTGTCGAATTTAACAAAAATCAAACATTTAGCACATCCACATGCAAGTGGTTTTCTTAATCTCAATTCATATTTGATTGATATGACTTCGGATCTGTTCATAAATGGCCAAAATGAATTTGAATATATTTATAATATACCACAAGAAGGTTTTCAACCGAATCAAAATGGTGAAAATCTTTATTCATTTCCAACTATTGCCAGTATACGTGGCCAATCATCATTTGTTGATCTGAATTATGATGGAAAATTAGAACATCTGATTCCAGTTTGTTTGGATTCGGATGCCAAATCATTTGCACAATGTAAACAGCCAAATTTAATGGTTTTCGACATGGATACCGGTGATTGGTTTTCAATATTGAATACAACTGAACCATTGGGTACAGAATTTAATCGTACATTAACATTTATCGATTCTCGTTTCTGTGATTATATTGAAATTCCTGTTACATTACATATTGGTGATATTGATTATGATGGTTATCCAGATTTTGCAACAATATTATTCGATCAACAAACTGAACAAACTGTTGCGGCAATTTTTTTAAATAAAATGATTGATGGTGAAAAAAATACATGGAATCGTATATTTCAATTAGATTGGATCGGTGAATATACGGAAAATGTTCGTATGGTCAGCTTATTCGATATATTCAATAATGGAAGATTAAATTTGTTGATAACGACGGAAAATGCCCATACGAATCAGTTGACATTACAATCATATGATTATTATGGAGAAAAATCATTATATTTTAGTTTTCTTCGTGTTAACGTTATTTCTGGACTATGTTCGGATAAAACTGAAGATCATAAATGTCCAAATCATTTAGCGTACGGTGGTACACCACCTGGTGCAATGGTTTGTTTTGCTGGCCCATATACTGATGATCATTGTTGTTCAGTGCAGATGAGTCAAACGGCTCATTTTGCTTTACAGCCACCATATATTATATTTGGTTTAGGTGATGTTTTGAACGTTATAAATGATTTATCCATATCGATTGCAAATGGTAAAAATCCATCACGTACACGTAAATGGAATGAAATAATACCTGGATCAAATTTGGTTATAGTGCCATATGAACCGGATCAAATGAAAAATTGGGAATTACGTGTGTTCATCAACATGAGCATATATTCATTGGTCTCATTATCATTTCTATTGATACTTGGTCTAATATTAACATGTGCCATATCGATATTACATTTTCGTGAAAAAGTTGAAGATCGTATCGATAATCAACAATATCGTAATGCTTGGTTATAAAAACATTTTCGAATTTGGCTATACATACGATTATTGTTGTCATTCTGTATGTAATTAGTATTTTTTTTGTATTGATTTTTTTTTATATTTTATTTTACACAATTTATTAAAATTATTGATTGATTGATTTACAAAACAAAACAAAACAAAAAATTTTGTTTCGAACATTGTGTTAATTAATTTGATGGTTGATAGATGGCGTTTGTGAAAAAAAAAAAAAAAATTAGGATTCGAAAAAAGATTCTAATGATTGTAAAAATGGGTAGATTGAATTTTATTTTTATTCACATTTGGTATATACCAAATAGAGATTCTCTTCTTTTAATGTTGATGATACTAATTTGTAAATTATTAAAAACCAAGAAAGAAAGAAAAAAAAATCATCCAATTTAACCATTAATTTAAAGTTGGCCCATAATCACAACAACAACAACGAACGCTTCAACATCATCATCATTATGGTGTGGCTGAACAACAACAAAAAAAAGTTGAATCAAGATTTAACAGCAAAATAAAAATCCATGTCCCTTTGGTCCACGAAGATTTTGTCTATGTGTGTGTGTGTGTGTGTGTTTAATATTAATTGGGCTTACAATGAAGTGAATGTGTTTTTGGTGTATTTTTTATTCAATATTTAATAACATTTGAGACTAAGAGATTTCTCGTTTCTCACACACACACACACACACACACACATAAAATGTGATCATCATCATCAACAACAACAAGGGAAAAAATCCAATGAATAAAATGAAAATGAAAAATCTTTGTGGTGGTCCTAAAATAAATTGGTTTCATTTAAGCTGTTTTTTGTTGTTGTTGTTGTTGTTGTTGTTGTTCGTCCTTTGTGAATTACTCCCATGTTGAACAATTGCCATTGCTGGACCATAATCATCAACAAATAACAACATTTTATATCATCAATTATGGATTTGAAAACAACCTAGCCAAACCAAACCAAACAATCAAGTTAAATTATTCAAAACAAAAATAACCACTCAACAACTGAAATGAAAAAAAAAAAACCACCACCACCACCACCATCATCATTGCAGCAGCAGCAGCAACAACAACAACAACAAATTAAATCGACCAAACCAACCAAATGAACTGCGACCACATAATAATAGAAAAAAAAAATAAAAGCCAAAAGAATAATTTAATTTAATAAACAGTGGAAGAAAACACAAAAAAATCTTATTAACACTTTTTTCGTTTTGATAGTGAATCAACATCATCATCATCATCAAATAAACATTTCATTCTGGATGATGAAGAAATTGAAATTCACCAAGAAATTATATACAATCAACAACTGACACAAATTGAACGGCTAACGAATATTGTTTTTAGTGGTAATTTTTTTTCAGCAAAAAAAAAAGAAGACAGTCTTCATCATCATCATCAATTCTTAATTTTTAAATGTTTTTTTTTTCGTACGGTTGTATCCCAGAATCCCATTTACAAAAGTTATCCTCGTGTGTGTGTGTGTGTGATAATCAAAATCGAATCTATTATAACGATAATAAATGTAAATTACAAACATCTGTTTTTCAGTGCCATCATTTCATTTCATCCCATATCATAAAAAAAGAGTCAATGAAGGATAACCACCACCATTACACAAAAATTTTCTTCTTTTTCTTCATTCAGCAACTGAAAAAAAACCACCAAACAAGCAATGGTGGATAAATAATGAATTAATAATTTAAAAATCACACTTTTTTTTGATACAACAGATTTATAAATGATTCATTTTTATCATCATCATCATCATCATCATCAATTTTTATCCAGTGTATTTAATACCACAAGTTTTATAAAAATACGAATCACCATCATCATCATCATCAAATTCACAAGAGAATTGTACCACCCACACACACACACACAATAAAAAAATAAAATGAAATGAAATGAATTCTGACCATACATCTCATCATCATCATCATCATCGATTTGATTGTGAATTGATATGGCCAATATATAAACAAAGGGCCAATTTTTTTTCTGATTGAACATCATTTAAAAGCATCTGTGTTTACGTGTACAGACACAGAACTCACCACCACCACCATCAGGTAATTATTTTGTTTCATTTATTCTAATTTTTTTTCCATTTCTACAATACATAAGAAAAAAATTTAAATTAGATTTTATGCAAATAAGGGCATCGAATGTTTTTTTCTTTTATTATTTTTGTGTTTGATTTGAATCTGCACAAATAATACTATGTAATAATTGAAATGTAAGAATTTCTCATGTCAGTGTTTTTTTTTTCATGTTTGTTTGTTTTATATTTGAATGAAATGAATTTTTTCCATCCAGATGATAAATTTCATTCATTTTGTTTGAGAGTAAACGTGTGTTTTATTTTTTAAATTTTTTTGATTGATTGGATTTAAATTGATGGCTGTCATCATCATCGATTCTTCGATTAATAGATCATCAATAAAAAGTAATTATCAGATGTTTTGATCAGTTGTATGTGTTGTTGGTATAAATTTGTAGTACTTGGATTCTATGACTGTATCGAATAATAATCGAAAATTCTTGTGTTGAAAATTATTATTTTCATTATTTTATTGTTGGTATCATATAATCAATTCAATGTAATCGAAATAATCATTTTGTGTTTTTTTGTTTGTTTGTTATATGAAGAGAACACAAGCATCTTGTCTGATGATGATTGGCAAAATGAAAAAAAAGTATAAAGCAAACAAAACAAAAATCAAGAGAGAGAGAGATACACAACACACACACACAGTCAAATGTTTTGTGATATAAAATATCCATATATTGACAATATTGTTAGATAATCACGCCATTCAATAAATGAATGTCCACAGAATTCTTTTCCTCAAGGGTAATCATCATCGATCCACCACTACCACGCCCCATCTCCCCCATCTTCCATATAACATGATCATTTCAACAACAACAACAAAAAAAAAAAATCTCTTTTTTTTACAAAAAAAAAGAATAACAAGTCCAAACAAAAAATAATCCAATATTTAATAATAGGGATGATGATGATGATGATTACGAGAATTTTATCAGCGTAAATTTTCATTGTTTGTTTGTTTTGGACAATGATTATTGATGATGATGGCCAGAACATTTTTTATTTTCGTTGTAAGTTTTTCTTCTTCCTGTCTGTGTGTGTGTTTTGATTGATTTGATCAATTGTCAATAATGATGATGATGATGATCAAATCCAATCCAATCAAATTGATTTATTTATTATTGATTTTTTTCCTGATTCTGATTAATAATCCATTGTGTATGATACACTAGAGAGAGAGAGAGAGAGAGAGAGAGAGAGAGATAGAGAGAAATGACAATAATAATAATAATTGTAATTGTCATCCGTGTGTGTGTGTGTTTTCATTATTATTATTATTAACCTCATTGATGGAATATTCTCTTGAGATTTCTGTTTTTGTTTTCTGGGGAATATTCCATTTTCCATATATAAATATTATATCGAAATAAAAAGAGAGAATCAAGTAGTACTAATTCGCATAATAGATTTTATTCTTTTTCATTTGTCCATCATTCAAATTGATGCTTATTTAGCCAAATCTCTTATTATTCACTGGTTATTATTATTATTGGTTATATTAGTTCAATATTGTTGAGGCGTGACGGGAAAAAAAAGATTCATTGTGATCATTCTGTTGCTGGTGGTGGAGGATCAAACATCGTCATCATAACAATAGAGGATGACTATTGTGTGTGTGTGTGTGTGGGGGGATACAAGATAAATGATGTATTTTTTATCTCTTTACCTTTCTCTTCCAACTTTTGATCCTTATGGAATACGACTATAGTTGTGTGTGTGTGTGTTGCTAATTTCTTTTTTTTCTGGCCACACACACACACACACACCAATCTGAAAATTTCGGTCACCACTGTTTCTTTGCTGTTGTTTTAATTCAATCAGGAATCATCGATTAATAGTTTGTTAGACAATCAATTTGTTACATACAAAAATCATTCTTATACCAACAACTAATAGCTCTATTAGCTCCAATTAAAACAGACCAACATACACACACACACACATTTATCGTAAAAATAAACGAAATGAAACGGAAAAAATAACAAAATTCAATTCAATTTTGACATTCATTTGTGTGAGTTACTTGAAGTGTGACCATTTCATTAAAAAAGAAAAAAAAATTGAGACAGATTTTTTTTTTGAATTTTTCTTCTTTTTCCATTACCACCACCGCCACCACCACATAAAATCTATTAGCTTCTCGTCGATCAAGTAATTCATTCATTTAGTTGGTTACTGGTGCCATACACACACACACACAGATTATTGTAACAAGAAAAACGAAAATTTAAAAAAAAAAAAAATTTAAAAGCGCGCGACAAACTTTTGAAAAACTAAATCTTTTTTTTTCTCGTTTCACTATTATTTATTTATTCACTAACTATTTTTGACAATGAATGAAATGAATGAATTCGTGGTTCGTGTTACCCCGAAATATATTCTGTTTCATTTTCAATAGTCATCGTTGTTGTTGTTGTTGTTGTTGTTACATTCAAATGAATGAATTGAATAGAATGAAAGAGGGCAACAACAATTTATTGTCTGAAGCAAAAAAAAAAAAAAAATGAAAAAATCGAATCCAATCCAATTGAATCGAATCATATATCCATTGAATATGATACAGTGAATGTGAATGAATTGATTGTCACATTTTGTGTGTGTGTGTGTATGTGTATAATGTATATATGAAAGTTAAGCCACAAATTGACTCATTTAACGCTTCATAAATATACTATTACATTACACACACACATAATAACCTTAAAGAGACAATTTTCTTTCAATTATTATTGAAGCATAACACAATATAGTCTCCCATTCACTCATTCATTCAACTTAACTTGATTCATAATATTCCTCTCTATTTAGTGATGTGTTGCTAGTAATGATATTCTTTCGAATGAATTTTCTTCATTTCTTGCACAAACACACACACACACACACAAAACTTATTTGGGGGTGGTGGTGGTGGTGGTGATGATGCTGGTCCCCCTTTCGTTGGATTTGGCCAACGAGAAAAAAAAACAT